TTTGAAGGCTATAAAGGAGAAAACACAACTCACATATAAAGGTAAACCCATCTAAATCACAGCAGATTTCTCAATGGAAATCTTAAAAGCAAGAAGAGCATGGAGTGAGGTCTTCCAGGCACTGAATGAAAATCATATCTACCCTAGGGTACTCTACCCACCAAAACTATCATTCAAAATAGATGGAGCAATAAAAGTCTTCCATGATAAGCAGAAACTAAAACAATATATGACCATCAAGCCACCACTAAAAAGATGCTTCAAGGAATTCTGCACACAGAAAATGAAAGCAACCAATACCACAAAAGGACAGGCAGAACCAAACCACAGGAGCACAAAAGGCAAGAAAGTAGAGAGTAACATTAATTCAGCTGCACACAATCAAACACTTAAACAAAAAAACAACTGAATGACAGATATCATCACGTACCTATGAATACTAACACTGAATGTTAACGGACTTAATTTCCCCATCAAAAGACACTGATTGGCAAACTGGATTAAAAAGGAAGATCCAACAATCTGTTGCTTACAAGAGACCCATCTCATTGACAGAAACAAGGACTAGCTTAGCATGAAAGACTGGAAGAAGATTTACCAAGCCAATGGCCCCTGAAAACAGGCAGGAGTAGCAATACTTATCTAGGACAAAGCAGACTTCAAACTTACATTGATAAAATGAGATAAAGAAGTACACTCCATACTATTAAAAGCAGAAATACACTAAAACGAAATAACAATTATCAACTTATATGTAACCAATGTCAATCCATCCAATTTCATCAAACATACTCTGAAGGACCTAAAAGCATATATAGATTCCAACACAGTGGTAGTGAGAGACTTTAATACTCCCCTATCACCAATAGATAGGTCATCCAAACAAAAAATTAGTGAAGAAATTCTAGATCTAAATCATACCACACATCAAATGGACCTACCTGATGTCTAAAGAATATTTCATCCAACTTCTGCACAATATACATTATTCTCAGCAGCCCATGGAGTGATCTCCAAAATTAATCATATCTTCGGGCAAAGCAAATATAAGAAACTAGAAATAATCCTATGCATTCTACCTGATCATTCTGCATTAAAACTAGAAATCACAACAAAGGCAACAGTAAATAATATGCAAACAGTTGGAAGGTGAGCAACACATTGCTCAATTATCAATGTGTCATTGATGAAATAAAAGAGGAAATTAAAAGTTTCCTGGGAGTTAATGAAAATGAAAACATGACCTACAAGAACCTATGGGACAAAGCAAAGTCAGTCCTAAGAGGAATATTTATAGCCACGAGTACATATATTAAAAAGACAGAAAGATTTCAAATCAATGATCTAATACTACATCTCAAACTCCTAGAAAAATAAGAACAAGCAAATCCCAAAATAAGTAGAAGGAGAAAAATAATAAAAATAAGGGCCAAAATCAATGAAATAGAAACACACACACACACACAAATGCAAAGAATCAATGAAACAAAAAGCTGGTTGTTTGAAAAAATAAGTAAGATTGACAGACCCCTGGCAAACCTGACTAAAATGAGGAGACAAAAAACCCAAATCAGTAAAATCAGAAATGCAAAAGGGGAGATAACAACAAACACAATGGAAATCCAGGAAATCTCAGAGACTACTTTGAGAACCTATATGCTAACAAATTTGAAAATCTTGAAGAAATGGACAGAGTTTTAGATACTTATGACCATCCAAAATTGAACCAAGAGGATATTAATCACCTGAATAGACCTATAACACAAAATGAAATTGAAGCAGTAATCAAGAGTCTCCCAAAAAAGAAAAGTCCAGGACCTGATGGATTCTCTGCTGAATTCTATCAGACCTTTAAAGAAGAACTGATACCAACCCTCCTTAAACTGTTCCACGAAATAAAAAGGGAAGGAACATTGCCTAACTCATTTTATGAAGCCAGTATTATACTCATCCCAAAACCAGACAAAGACACCTCCAAAAAGCAGAATTATAGGCCAATTTCCTGAATGAATATTGATGCAAAAATCCTCAATAAAATAATGGCAAACCAAATCCAACAACACATCAGAAAGATCATTCACCACAACCAAGTCAGCTTCATCTCAGTAATTCAGGGGTGGTTCAACATACAAAAATCTATAAATGTAATACAAAACATTAATAGAAGCAAAGATAAAAAAACCACTTGATCATCTCAATAGATGCAGGAAAAAGCCTTTGATAAGATATAATACCACTTCATGATAAAAGCTCTAAGAAAACTAGGAATAGAAGGAAAGTACCTCAACATTGTAAAGGCTATTTATGACAAACCTACAGCCAGCATTATACTTAATGGAGAAAAACTGAAACCATTTCCCCTAAAATCAGGAATGAGACAAGGATGCCCACTATACAGCATAGTACTTGAATTCCTAGCCAGAGGAATTAGGCAAGAACAAGAAATAAAAGGAATACAAATAGGTAAAGAAACTGTCAAAGTATCACTATTTGCAGATGATATGATCCTATATCTTAAAGACCCAAAAAATTCCACCCAAAAAATACTAGACACCATAAACAGCTACAGCAAGGTACAGGATAGAAAATCAACTTACCAAAATCATTAGCTTTTCTATACACCAAACACTGAACAAACTGAGAAAGAATATATGGAAACAATTACATTCACAGTAGCCTCAAAACAAATAAAATACCTAGGAGTAAACTTTACAAAGGTTGTGAATGACCTCTACAAGGAGAATTACAAAACCCTGAAGAAAGAGATCAAGGAACACTAGTAGGTGGAGAGATCGCCTGTGCTCATGGATTGGTAGAATCAACATAGTAAAAATGGCTCTACTATCAAAAGTAATCTACATATTTAATGCAATTCCCATCAAAATCCCAATGACATTCATCACAGAGATTGAAAAATCTACTCTAAAGTTCATTTGGAAACACAAGAGACTGCGAATAGCCAAGGCAATACTCAGCAAAAAGAACAATGTATTTCAAAGCAATAGCAATAAAAATACTGGCACAAGAACAGACATGAAGGCCAGTGGAACAGAAGAGAAGACCTGGATATGAAGCCACACAACTATAACCAACTTGTCTTTGACAAAGTTGCCAAAAACATATGATGGAGAAAAGACAGTCTCTTCAACATATGTTGCTCAGAAAAGTGGGTATCCATCTGCAAAAAACTGAAACTAGATTCATGTTTATCACCCTGTACTAGTATATACTCAAAATGAATGAAGGACCTTAATATCAGACCAGAAACTCTGAAGTTAGTAGAGGAAAGAGCAAGGAATTCTCTGGAAGTAATAGGTATAGGCAAGACTTCCTCAATAGAACTGCAGCAGCTCAGCAACTAAGAGAAAGGATGGACAAAGGGACTACATAAAATTTAAAAGTTTCTGCACAACAAAAGAAATGGTCTCTAAACTGAAGAGACCACCCACAGAGTGGGAGAAAATATTTGCCAGGTATACATCAGACAAAGGACTGATAACCAGAATATACAGGGAACTTAAGAAGCTAAACTCTCCCAAAATCAATGAACCAATAAATAAATGGGCAACTGAACTAAACAGAACTTTCTCAAAACATGAAATTCAAATGGCCGAAAAACAAATGAAAAAATGCTCACCATCTCTAGCCATAAAGGAAATGCAAATCAAAACCACACTAAGATCCCACCTCACCCCATTACAATAGCCATCATCAAAAACAGCACCAACAACAGGTGTTAGTGAGGATGTGGGGGAAAAGGAACCCTCATACACTGCTGGTGGGAATGTAAGCTAGTGCAACCACTCTGGAAAACAATATGGAGGCTTCTTAAAAATCTAAACATAGTTCTGCCATATGATCTATCAATCCCACTCCTGGGGATATACCCAAAGGAATGTGACACAGGTTACTCCAGAGGCCCCTGCACACCCATGGTTATTGCAGCGTTATTCACAATAGTCAAGTTATGGAAATAGCCAAGATGCCCCACTACTGACGAATGGATTAAGAAAACGTGGTACTTATACACAATGGAATTTTACTCAGCCATGAAGAAGAATGAAATCTTATTCTCAAGTAAATAGATGGAACTGAAGAACATCATTCTGAGCTAGGTTAGCCAAGCTCAGAAGACCCAAAATCATATGTTCAACCTCATATGCAGACTTTGGATCTAGGGCAAATACAGCAATGTGGCTGGACTTGGGTCACATGACAAGGAGAGAGCACATATGGGAGGTATGGGGATAGGTAGGAAACCCAAAACATGAAAGTGTTTTGATGTCCCCACTGCATAGGAGCTGATACAGATACCTAAAGCAACAGAGGTCAACATAAGAAGGGGATCAGGAACTAGTGAAAAGATCAGGTAGAGATGAATCAACTTGAGTTGTACCCATTTATACATGAAAGCAATGCTAGGAATCTCTCTTTATAGCTATCCTTATCTCAACTAGCAAAAACACCATGTCTTTCTTAAAAAAAAAAAAAAACAACAAAATACTAAAACTATTAAGAAGAAACCTAATTATTAGTACCAATTTTTTAAAAGAAATTTACAACTATAAAAGTGGTGCTGTTGTATTGAGATGAGGATTGATAACCTACACTTGCTTGCTTTTTTGTAACAGCTGTCCCTCCTACATATGAAGAAGGCAAAAAGATATAAATTTTTAAAAATTTCTCCTCAGTGGTCCATTTCTGAATACTCTATCCTGAGATTCTCAGTTACAGGCACTAGGAAGTTTAATAGGTATTATTTTTCTCAAATAATTATCCAATGATGAATTCAGAGTATTAATGTGAAAACACTGATTAAACTGTTTAGCTATTATGCCCATCCCTAGTTGAACTTTGATATTTACCCAAAGAACTTTTCCTAACTAGCTTCCCAGCAATGCACAGAAATTCAGACACACTCAATGTTAATGACAGCAGGGTTCCAAGAAACAAGACAGTGGTGGAGCACTTCTAGATATACAAGGTCAGAATCAACCAGCATGTTCCTCTCCATCAGTGTCATTCTCACGTTATGGGTTTCCACTGTTGGAGGAGAAGGTAAGTGGAAACCACATTTGAGTATTTGCTTTTTTTACTCAAATGTGCTCATTAGTTGTATGTAAGCATATTTTTAAACCAAAAAGGGCATCAATTTGAATTAGGAATCATAGTATTTATCTATTTTAATGGAAAAAAGGTAAATTGAATTATGTTTCCTTCCTTCTCTAAATTCCAAAGTGTAAAATGCTACTATATATAAAATTTGAAAATAAATATAAAATATTAAGAAATATATATATAAACATTGAAAGTGACAATGTAAAATACTAGTGTAACTCTACATAATTTCTGCATGAAACCGATAAGAAAACATTCCCTGAAACATGAGATATCTTCAGAATGTTCATAGGTTGGTTAATTTAAAATGTGAAACACATTAAAATGAGGAATTTCCCATTCCAATATAATCACACCAAACACTGAATTATTTCTTAATAAAACAGGTAGAAAGATAGAGTGTATTCTTCTTTTTGAAAGTAAACCCGAAATTGTCAATGCATCACTTTTTGTACGAGTGTGGAATGTGAAAAGAAATCATGTTACCTGTTTTTTAACATCAGAAACAGCCTTACAGTGTATTAACACTCTTTTTATTTTATAAAGAGACCATATGAAAAGAATTGGAAGCAGAACATTTACCAAGGTATAGGAGTCTGGCTAAACTGTATAAATGGAATTTCAATCACTGTGCTTTACTCTGATTTTCAGGAAGGATTTATTTTGCTGTTTTGTTGCTTTACTAATTGTGGACATCATTGATGTTTTATTTGTTCAGTTTCTCTTCAGTTCTGACCTAAGAGCACAAACAGGAAAAATTCAAATTCTTTTATTTAAGATCCACCCTTATACAAGTTGTAAAACATATTGCTAAGGACTTCAAACTCATTTTATTTTGTTGCCCCTTTAAGGTTGATTTGTAATCCCAGGAAATCAGTCACCTAGTGAGAGAACCAATTTCCCTCCAATGACAGACACTACTTAGCTTCAATTAGAAATACTGAGGACTCTGATTAGCCTGCAGGGAGGCAGAGACTTTCACAGTCCCTCACTGGCAGAGCTGGATTTGAGATATTTAAATCAATATTTCAGACATAGATTAAGAAACTCAAATATGTTAGAGATGGTATTAAAAGGAGATTTCTAAATAGAGAAAAAGCAGAAGAAAATGATAAAAACTGGAGAACACTATGTGGTCATTCTGTCCACGATAAAAGAAGCCCAACCTTCACTTTCCTGGAGAAGCTTCAGTGAAACTCTATCTAAAAGTTGCAGAAGTGGTAAAAGTCCTGTGACTGTGTACTGACATCTGTTGGGTGCCTGTTAACACTGCTAAATAGTGGAAGCAACATAGTAAAGTAATATTTTTGTATACATAGAAAACTCTTCATGGTTTAAGTAGGAAAATAGTTGTTTACTATGTGTCACCCTGAATAAGGAAGCTGGGATGATGAAAACTCCAAGCAAGCATCAGTGCCAATTATAGTGTCCTAAAAACGGGCCTAAAATACATTATAATGTCCTAAAATACATTGCTTGGTTGCATGCGTGTGTATTCCCATAAGAAATGTATTCATGAGGTGCCTCAGAATATAGAGTTGATAGAAATAATGACCTACACTTTGAAGTGGGAGCTTGGAGACCTGTCAAGGGAAATAAATGTACATAACTAGCACCACTGGGGATGCACTCAAGAATATTGGATGAATGTTGGGAAATGCATTTTGAACAATGAGTAGAATATAATTGGAAGATAGAAATCATGTTATTCTGGATTGAGAATAATATGTATGTATAATACATAAAATCCAGTATTGCAATTTAAGAGACAGGACAAATGGGTATTTGAAAAATAGCTGTAATAGGTAATAAACCACAGAGGTCTAGACCCCAAAAACATCCTCAAAACTATCTAATGTCAAATTTAAGCTGCTAGATAAACAACTGCAGATTTCACAAGGTTAAATACCACAGGAATTAATAGTTTCAAATATTGTGCAATGTTGGACCTTACCTGCAGATATGTGAAAAAGAATGATTTCCCAGATTTGTGAGCTGAGTATGTACAAACTGTTTTCCAAAGAAAAGGGGAAATAAAACCTTTTCTTATGCAGTAGTTACATATGAAGGCAATATCTTGAGTTTCCAAAGAAAAACTGTTGTTGAAAAAAACAGTACTACAAACCTGGAGCATATAAGCTATCTAATTAAACCAAAATTTTTAATGCTAATGACATTGAAGATGGGAAAGCTTTGCATTGGGGGCTAAAGAATGGGAAATGCCATTGCTTTCCACTTAACTTATCTGTAAATGTACCTGTTCTAAAAACCAAAGTCTAGTGACATATACAAAGATACATACAAAAACGAGTACAAAGGTATAATGGTTTTAAACATTTTGTAAATTGTCCTGACAGATCTTTCACCACAATGCATGTATAACACATGTATACATTCATCCATATACCTTATGCTACAGAAAATGTTCTCATGAATAAAAGTTCATCATAATTTAGCTGCAGTTTTATCTTGATGGATTGTTCTTAGTGATTCTTTGTATTCTAAGTATTTTAAATAAAATTGCATTGACCATGTAACCACAAAAAATCAAAATGATGGCATTAATAAAAATATTAGTGATTCCACATCTCTAATGTACTGCAAAACATAGAGCACTATGGGAAGGGAACCAGGAAGTAGCAAAGAGATCTGGCAGAGGTGAACCGATGTGGGTTGCAATGCACAAGCACATGGAAGGAACACTAGGAATCTCTCTGTATAGCTATCTTTACTTCAAACTAGCAAAATGCTATGTCTTATTATCTCTTATGTTTTCTCTTCAAAAAAATCAGAGAACAAGAGGGAGGAACAGGTTCTGCCCTGTGGGGGTGGGGAGAGGTGGCACAATGTATACACATGTAAGTAAATGTAAAATTGATAAAATAAAAGAAAGAAAAAAATAGAGCAGAAAAATTCTGGTAGGTATATCTATGGTTGTCAGTTGAAAGAACAAAGGAAGTGCATTGAAAGGTAAGCACAACCCTATCTGCCCACCACCACATACTACATATGTCTTGCTTCTTGACTCTTTTCTTCTTGAAGACACGCCTGCCAAAAAGGTCATATTACATATTACTTAAAAATGTTAATTTCATATTTATGTAAAATTATGTTCTCAAATACACATGTACTCTTTTAGTGTATATTAATTGTGTAAAATAGGCTGCATTTGGACACTTTCATACATGTATGTGAGGTACATGAAGGCATGCTAGAAGGCATTTGAGTTACATGCATTTAAGATAAATAAGAGGAAAAAGATCATCAATGAGGTGATTAAATGATTGCGTGATTCACTAATGCAGACCAACATTTACTTCTTCGGATTTGTTCTACTTTTCCCAGTGGGACTTTGTGATTTTCCACAAATAAACCATGGAATTCTGTATGATGAGAAGAAATATAAGCCATCTTTCCCAGTTTCTACTGGGAAATTTTTCTACTACTCCTGTGAATACAATTTTGTTTCTCCCTCAAAATCCTTATGGACTCAAATAACATGCACAGAAGAAGGATGGTCACCAACACCAAAGTGTCTCAGTGAGTACATGCCCCAGGAGATTCAGTGAAAAGAGAACTAATAAGAGAGCATCACGGGGTCTCCACAGTCATGGGCACAGGGACTAAAAGAGCTAGCAATGCAGGAACTAGCAGTCGTGTTTCTGAGGTGTCTTGTCTGAAAATCAATGTAGAATAGTATAAATATTTCAACTTGAAATACAGTCTGGCAGTGCTCTGCATACTGAAATATACTAATTTCAAAAAGTGATGATGGATATATTTCATGACTAACAGTTCTTTGCAAACATTGATTTTGTAGTAACCATGTTTTTCATTTGAAAGAAAAGTCATTTTACATATGCATTCTGTTTTGAATTAACCACACCCTCAACTATTCCATGAGAAGGTTTTTCACTTTTATATTTTCCATAAATCACTTCTTTCATCCTTAATATTTTTATCTATATAAATAGTTCAATGAAAGTATGGAGCAGATCCAGGTGCATCAAAAGAGAAAAAGAGTGGGAGATAAAAAAGATTAGCCAATGAAATAGTGAGAGTTATCACCTCCACTTAAAAATATTTATGAGAAATAAAAGAAAAATTGGTATTTAAGACAGTTTTGTATTTAAAAGAATTTATAAATATCAACTATTATATTGTAAAAACCATACAACAGCAGCATGAAATACTAATCTCGATTCAAATGTAAGAGTAAATCAAATATAGCAGCATGAACTAACTTCATTTAAAACTTTTATATTTGAGATTAGTTTCAAAAAGTCGCTAGTTTTTAAAATGAAATTTTTCCTTTCTTATACTATGTTGATATGGCACACTGATCATATTCTTTGGTTCTTAGGAATGTGTTTTTTTCCTTCTGTGGAAAATGGTCATTCTCTATCTTCAGGAAAAACACACCTAGAAGGAGACACTGTACTAATTCTTTGCAATCGTGGCTACAGCCTTCAAAACAATGAGAAAACCATCTCATGTACAGAAAGGGGATGGTCCACTCCTCCCATGTGCATTTCTACCAGTGAGTGTCCTCTACATCCTGCTGTCATCTAGATTTTTAAAAAAGAATTCTATTAACAGGGGTAAAAACAGGTTTGGCACTTGCTGCCATCATTAGACATTTGATATTTAGTTCCAATTGCGTCTAAGTGGGTATGCAAATAACATAGCTTTCTATCTATGTAATTGAAATGCATGTTCTAAATAGAAGTACTACACGAGATTTTGAGGTCAGCTCCTTTATGTTTAAGTCACACAATTTATCATCTACATTGCTAAGTTAGTTGTCAATAAATGATCACAAAACTAAAATATGAAAGTGAAAAGCCTCAATTCATTTTAAAATGTCTGACAGTTTTTAATATTTTCAGTTAGCTGTGGGTATGTGAGTTTGTTACTGCAATATGTAGTCTGTCCCACTGGTCTGATGTCACACTTTATGGCAGGCCATGCTGCTCAGTTATTATGACCTAGTATCAAGGGTTGGAATCAAGTATTCTGATAATTTTCAGGGATTTTCCTTTAATTCAAGACTTCCTTGGCTGTTTATTGTGGTTCCATATAAGTTTTAGGATTGTTTATCTAGTGTTTGAAGAACTCCATTGGTGTTTCTTAGGATTGTTCTTAAGTCTATGAATCCATTTTGGTAGTAGGCACACATCATAATAGAAATCTTCCAATCACTGAACATGAGAGATATGTTCATTTGTGTGTGTGTATATTCTTCAATTTTTGTATTAGTCTTGCCACCCTAATGTGTGTGTTACCTCTGGTATCAGAGAGCATAGAGGCTGTACATTGACATCTTTTCTACATTAGATCATATCTTGTTCCAAAGGAGTTTTTGTCTTGCCAGGTTGCTGCTTCCTGGCCTTCTGGTTAAAGAGCTAGGCTCCTCTTGGTATTATTGCTTTCCCTATTGGATCCTGGTATCACTCTTCAGCGTGTTCTACTCCAGTGCTCCATCCAAGGTACAGGGGAGTTCAATACAGAACTCAAATAGACACAATGAAGTGCTACTTCTCGAACCCTAAATTCCTAGCCAGACTGAATTTTCTAGTCTGTAGAGCCTAATATGACCAACATTTTTAGTTTCACTTTCTTAGCCAGCTTATTTAGATCAACTGTGGCTAAACTACATCTATATTTCAACAAAGTAGTTTCACTATGAACTTTCTGAAGTTCTCACTGACATGATAATTGATCAATTGCATGTTTTATTTGCTTGTTATTTCATTAAATAACCTTATCTAATTATTAGACATAGGACTTTCTTCTCAGGCCTGCTTCATTTTTTATTTGTGTCATCAAATAGTTTACTATTTTAGGGGAAACACAACTGGAATGACACAAAGGATGATGAAAGTGAATCTACACTAAGACAGATCATTCAAAGAGAATACTTTGTGCCAGGTTGAATTTAGTAAGATAGAATTTATCAGTGGTAATTCTCAGATGCTGAGCTTGGTTCAAAGAAATGATCTGCTTAGTTCAGACAGATTCACAACAGCAACAAAAACAAGTGAATATTTTAATGAATTTTAGAATCAGTGTGAATCAATGCTGTGCTGGAACCACACAGTTAATAATTAGACCATGAGCTATGTTGGGAGGAGTGTAAGAAGTAGAATGAAGCTGTTGTAAGGACTCCTGAACTTTGCTGATCAGACCCTCTGTGGAATACTGTTCTGTGTCTATTTACCAACTTGTTTCCACACAAGATAGAAGAGTAGCAAGGTGGCTCAAACCTGTTGTAATAATATCAACTTGTAGCTATGTTTTTTCTGCACTTTTGAAAAGACATCTTAGTGGATTGATTCATTTCAGCAATGTTCTATGAAACATGGTAATGGAATAGATAACCTCATTTATTATGCATTTTACACTACGTTTCAGTTCTCTGCTCTATAATTGAATGGGTGTTTTAACGTATTTGTTGAAAAAAAGTCATTTCTTGTAATCTAAATGCTCAAACTTATTGTTAAATGGCACACATACAGACATAGCATGAGGAAATTCATAAAATAGCAAATGTTCTAAATCTTTAAAAAATAAAAAATATAGTTTGAAAGCCAGGTATTGGTGGCTAAATTTTGTAATCCTAGCTACTTGGGAGGCTGAGATATAAACGATCATATTTAAGGTCAGCCTAAGCAGATAGGCTTCTCCAAAAATAACCAAAGAAAATGGACTGGAAGTGTGGTATGGAAAAATGTAAATGTTAATTAAAAGGAAAGAAATGAAGTCCTAAATAAGCACTGCAATTTCAGCAGTGGAGAGTTTATGAAAGTGGGAATATATCTGTCAATACTAGAGATAGGGACCACAGATGAAGACAGTGTACCCAGAAAGGTGTCATTTGCTAGTCTTTGTTAATGAAATACATATAGTGTTAGCAAGGGATCAACACTTATAATTCATATCACCAGTGTGTAGTTTGCAAGCAAACAAAAAAGAAAATTGACAAATAAATTTAAGGATGCTGTAAAATATTTCTATGTGATTGTATGTATGTGTGCATGTGTGTGTGCACTGGTGCGTGTTTGGGTGTGTGCATATGTGTCTGTTTGCGTGTGTGCCTCAGAGTATTTGTGTGCCTCAGAGTGTGTGTGCGTGTGTGTGTCAGTATGTTAGTGCATGTGTGTCTGTTTTGTACACAGGTGTGTGTTCATGTGTTTGTGCCTTTGAATTTGACTGTGTGTGCATGTGTGTTTGTGTGTGGGCATGGGTGTCTGTGTGTGTTAGTATGTGTGTCTATGTTGAATGTGTGGCTCTGAATGTATGTGTGCATGTGTGTGTCTGTGGATATGCCTGTGTGTGCTCATGTGAGCATGCAAGTGTGTAGAATTCTTTTAGACATGTTGCATAAGATTTCCTTCATGGAAAAAAAGAAATTCTATTCTTTTATTTAAAATATTATTTATTTCTAAAGAAGCTCATGAAAAGGAAATTACTTTGAAAACCATGATATATATACCTATTATTGTAATGATGTAGCACTTAAAATGAGTGATAAGATTATTCAATACTTAAGAAAACACACAAAATACAATTATATTGTACCTCATCTTAAAATATCTTACAATATTTTAAAACACCTAATTTTCCAAATAAAGTAGAAACAAATAAATGTTTATCCTCATCTTAACTATTTGTATATCAAAAAATATTCACAGTTCACTTTTCTCCTGACCCACAGATATAACTTCAACTTCATTAGCAAAGGCCACCTTACATACCTCAGTCATATGAATTCTATACTTTGCTTGCTACGGAAACTTTAATATTATGTATATGATTATGTTTCTACTGGAAGATAATTAATTGATTAAATAATTTATCTCTGATATGACTGCTCACTAAAATAAAAGTTTTACTTATACTTGTTTTCTTGTAAGTAAAACCTTGTGACTTTCCACAAATAAAAAATGGACGTCTACATAATGAAGACAAATATAGACCATATCTTCCAGTACCTATAGGTAAAAACTTCAACTATCATTGTTATGAAGATTATGTGACACCTTTGAACTCATACTGGAATAATATTAACTGACATGCTGCAGTAAGTGAATGACTTTAGAATTACATACACATAATTCTTTCAAAGAGTAGAGAGAAAAGAGCACACAGAAGATCACAAAAAAGATTTGATGACAAAAATATTCCCAAAGGTCTATTTGTGGTGCACACCCGCAAATTACAGGTGGCTCACACCTATAATTCCAGCACTCAGGAGGTGGAGGCAAGAGGATTGCAAGTCAAGACCAGCCTGGTGAGACTCAGTGTATAAACAATGGGGAGAAGGACCAAAGGAAGTGTTGAAAGAACAAAACCACACCATTTTGTCCTTTATAATGAGTTTTTCATTAAAATCAGAAAAAATTGGAAATAGAGACTTCCTGAGAATAATTTCTCATTTACACAGGTTTTAATTATAAACTAAAGATAAATAACATCTTCTTAAAACAACATTTTCTAATATTTTTGGTTTTCCTTAACTTCACATTATTTATGAATGTTATGCAATCCACTTCAACACTCCAAAGATACATTATTAATTTAGCACTTCTGCCAACTTAATTTTTTTTCATTTATTATTGTCTTGCTGCTCAGGACAATGTGTTCTCAGATATGTGGAGCTTGGAATTTCTCCACCTTCACCAAGAACATATGTACAGGATCAATCTGTGAAAGTTCAGTGCTATCCTGGCTATAGTCTTCCAAATGAGGAGAAAACAATTGTGTGTACAGAGAGTGGCTGGTCCCCTCCTCCCAAATGCGTCCGTGTCAGTAAGTACACTGCTGTGAGAAGCAGATAGACTGACCTACAGTAACTATGTAGGTGTGTATAAGTGAATGCGCAGATTTCTCCATAAGTATAGAGCAAAATAAATGCACCTATCAGTAGGCATTACTCCAGAGTACACTAGAATACTATATTAAGGTCATAATAACATATACATTGAAATTGCTTAATCACTCAATGGTAAATGATAATAGAATTAAAAATAAATAGGATGGTAGCCAAGAAATTATATGACATTTGCAGTCATGTTGTTTGTCTCTGACTTTCTCTGGGATGTGTAACTGGGAGTGGATTTACTGGACATTGTGCATGCTCTACTTTAGAAGGATTTCTCTAGTGTTGTTCCCATAAACATTTATGCCCACCATTAATTCCTCTTCTCCATACTACTGTGTCCAGGTACCAACTTCTTTCCACACAAGACAGAAGTGTAGGAAAGTGGCTCAAGCTTGTTCTAATAGTGCCAACTATTAAAATTATAGTTTAGAATGATTCATTCTGAACCTTTGAAAAGACATCTCAGGGAATTAATTCATTTCGTTGATGTTCTGTAAACATCCTAATGAAATAGATAACCACATTTATTCTACATTTTACACTAGTTTTTAATTCTCTGCTCTATAATTGAATGGACGTTTGAGCTTATTTGTTAAAAATATGTCACTTCCTGTAATCCCAAGACTGAAAGTTTCTCAAGACATAGTTATTGTTAC